CATTATAATCCGTATTTATGTCCCCACTGGATGCAACAAATGCCTCGTTTGTAATGGGTTTGAATGTTTTTGAATCATGCTCCGGCTGGGACACGGCATCAACAGTATGTGAGGGGCGTAACATTTCCGTCTCACGCTTGAGGTATTCGGCCAATCACAACGCATTGGATAGCTGGCCAATCAGAGCACACCTCGCTTTTCAGACCGATTAGTTTTGTAAAAATCGACGCGTTTCAAAAAGGCGGGGCATAGAGGAGAAACAATAATGTACAGTATGTGGAAAATAATGTGTTTTTTGAACCTTAAACCACATAAACACATTTCATTACACCAAATACATAAAATAATGTTCTTTTTAGCAGCATCATATGACCCCTTTAAAACAATTCTGGTTTCCATCTTTCCAGGCTACAAACTGTAAGATATTAATTTCAATAAAGGCGTTTATATGGGATCGTGAGCATGGATGAAGGTCTGGTTTGATTGTCATGATTTCTCCTGAGCTTTGCGTCCGTCTCTCAGAGCAATTATCACCTGTTCTGCGGAGGGGGCGGAGCCTCACTCACCTTCCCGCTGTTGCTGGGGGATGATGGCTGGTTGCTGGGGAAACGCTTGGTTGATTGGCGCGTAAGCGGCAGGATAGGCTGCTGTAACCCGGAGCGAGCGAGAGAGAGAGAGAGAGAGAGAAAGAATCACGGTCATATTCCTGATTTAACAGATCAACTCGCAGCTTTCTTCCAGCGCTGACGCTGAATACATGAATAAAGCTCATCATCATCATCATCACACTCCTCTGAGCTTCACAAACTCCACAAACTTTCAAAGGTGTTTTTTAGGGAGTCTACCTCTTTATTAAAGAGGGTTACATTCAAATATTACACTTGCTGTATGCAGCAGGGGTATTATCATAAAAAACCTTAAAAAACTAAAAAACTAAAACTTTTGTTAATTGAAACAAAGCTAAAGTACACTAAACGAACATTAGAAATAACTAACTAAAATAAGTTTAAGTTTATTTAAATGGAAATTAATAAAACTAAAACTCAACTAGAACTAAAACTGAAATAAAAATAAATTAAACTCAAATAGTAATCTAAAAAAAACTAATAAAATTACAAAAAAAAACATAAATTACTAAAACTAAATTAAAATGAAAACTAAAAAAAATTATTCAAAATATTAACAAAATTATAATAGTACATAAATAATACTAAAATAACAGGTATGCAGTATTATACTAAAATTTAAATTTAAATTAAAACTATATAAAAAAACTTTAATAGTACATAAGTAATACTAAAATAACTAATAAATAATAAAAAAATTAATAAAACAAAAAATTAAAATGAAAACTAGGAATAAAAATCAATTAAAAATATTAATAAAAACTGTAATAGTACATAAGTAGTACTAAAATAACTAATACATAATTCACAGTGCATTAACTTTTAATAATGCATTAGTAAATGTTGGAATTAACATTAACTAAGATTAATAAATGCTGTAGAAGTGTTGTTCATTGTTAGTTCATGTTAACTAAAGTAGTTAACTAATGTTAACTAATAAACCTTATTGCAAAGTGTTACCAAAATAACAATACTATACAGTGTTGAATTACAATTATAATGAAAACTACATAAAAAAATAATTTTAAATATTAGTAAAAGCTGTAATAGTACATAAATAATACTAAAATAATACTAGTGTGCGGTGCTAAAATTTAAATGAAAACGCTATTAAAAAAAACAAAAGGCTCATTTAAAATATTAATAAAAACTGTAATAGTATATAAATAATACTAAAATAACACTGGTAAGCAGTGTTAAACAAAGTAAACACAAATTTTAATTCAAAAGCTAATTCAAAACACACACATAAAAAACTATAATAATCTATAAATAACACTAAAATATCACTGGTATTATTCCGCATGTTTACTGTGCACAGTGCACAAATTGCATGCTACATTCTCCAGTATGTGCAGAACACAATAAAGCATACTGCACACTGCATACTGCATCCCACAATGCAATGCACTCAACCTGATCTTCAATTTCCAGTGTGACGGAAGAAACAGAAGTGAAATCAGACGTGAATTTAAACATCGCTTTCTTGACTCGTTATTTCAACAGACGGCCAGAAGACATTTTTTACACTAAACTGAACATACATTGCTAAATAACCACATTTGTGACCCTGGACCACAAGACCAGTCATAAGGGTCAATTTCACGAAATTGAGATTTATACATCATCTGAAAGCTGAATAAATAAGCTTTCCATTGATGTATGGTTTGTTAGGATAGGACAATACTTGGCTGAGATACAACTATTTGAAAATCTGGAATCTGAGGGTGCAAAAAAATCTAAATATTAAGAAAATCATCTTTAAAGTTGTTCAAATTAAGTTCTTAGCAATGCATATTACTAATCAAAAATTAAGTTTTGATATATTTACGGTAGGAAATTTACAAAATATCTTCATGGAACATGATCTTTACTTAATATCCTAATGATTTTTAGCATAAAAGAAAAATCTATAATTTTGACCCATACAATGTATTGTTGGCTATTGCTACAAATATACCCCAGCGACTTAACACTGCTTTTGTGCTCCAGGGTCACATTTATTTCTATGAAACTGGACTCCAGCAGCTGAATTAAATGAGGTCACATGACAGCAGACTGTTGATCATCGCATAATGCATATGTTTCAGCAGTCATATGAGGGAAATGCTGATCCAGAAAATACATGCAGACATAGATTGTCAGATTGTGAATTCACAACAAAAAACTTCAGGAGAGACTCACCTGCATAGTGCTGCACGCCGGCATACGCCTGCTGGAGAGGATCGGCCATCGTCGGGCTCTGCGCTGCACACACACACACACACACACAGAGACACACACAGAGACACACACACACACACGGACACGGACACACACACGGACACAGACACAGACACAGACACAGACACACACACACACACACACACACACAGAGACACACACAGAGACACACACACACACACGGACACGGACACACACACGGACACAGACACAGACACAGACACAGACACACACACACACACACACACACACAGAGACACACACAGAGACACACACACACACACGGACACGGACACACACACGGACACAGACACAGACACAGACACAGACACACACACACACACACACACACACAGAGACACACACAGAGACACACACACACACACGGACACGGACACACACACGGACACAGACACAGACACAGACACAGACACACACACACACACACACACACACAGAGACACACACAGAGACACACACACACACACGGACACGGACACACACACGGACACAGACACAGACACAGACACAGACACACACACACACACACACACACACAGAGACACACACAGAGACACACACACACACACGGACACGGACACACACACGGACACAGACACAGACACAGACACAGACACACACACACACACACACACACACACACTGTTTATGACTTCTGTCAATATCAGTCTGATTTTATTTCAGCACTTTCCTTCATTTGCCACTGTCATTTCTATACGCCTGTTGTTTTTACAGATTCAGATCAAATGTGACACACTCCTCTGTGCTTCAGCCCTACATATTATTTTTGTATCAGGATCAATTAATGCATTCGGAAAAACACAAAAAATGCAAGTCATGTAGCTCAAACTAGAATGGCACTAGCAATGCCCAAGGTCATGGCTTTGATTCCTAGTGAATGCATATTATGTATAACTTATATATTTTTAATGCAATGTAAGTCGCTTTAGATAAAAACATTGTCCATGCAAATGCAATTCATACAGACAATGGCTTGAAAACACCTCTGCTGTGAACATGTTTTCAATTAAAATGATGTGTTGAGACAGCTCTGGAAGGTTGGTTTTCGGTGCTAGTCTTGGTTGTTTTACGCTGATCAAGTACTGTTTGAGTTGCTCCAAATCCAAAGATGTTGTGCATCCAAAGCAGGGTAAAGTGAAGTAAGCGTGTTACCTGGGTACGGATGGATGCCATTGGTGTAGATGGGTTCGGAGGCGAGCTGTCCGTTGCTTTGGGGAGGGAGAGCGCTGAAGCCGTTCACCCCGATGGGAGCTGCAATGCCTGGTGGCGTGCTGGTGCCTGGTGGAAACAAATACAGCACTAAAAACTCCATTCATTTTCTCTATGGTGAACTTGAATTTTAACGATAACTTAAAAACTTTTAAACACAAACCTACTGTGAGCTACAAGGCTGTTAATTGCTGATATATGCTTTTGTTTAGTTTTTTAAGAATCACGTGTTAACAGAGGGATTCCTGGTGAAAAACTACATTACCCATGATGCTCTAGTGAAAATTCCACCAATTAGAGAGTGGCGCTGAGTAAATGGAGCACAACAGTCGGGTTCCAGAAGTAAAAACGCCATTCATTTTCTCCATATGGAACTCAATTTTTAATGATAACGTACAAACCGTTAAAGACAGACCTGCTGTGAGCTCCGAGGTTATTCATCGACGTCTGTGCTTTTGTTAAAGCCACCTGTTTGCATTAATGCAACTTATTTTTAAAATAATCGTGTGTTCACAGTCTTGTATCTTTGTCTTTTTGTCAAATCAACGTTTGTAATTAGTTTTATTTTGTTCTTCTTCACTTTGATAAATAAGTGTAAAAATAATGATTTATTTGGCAATTTTCTTAAATAGCTTATCATATTATCATATTATATTTTTCCATTGTTTTTAAAATTGATTGTTTTCTCTTGCAATGCCTCATGGGACTGCAGTTCTTTCCCTCATTAAAGCCATTAAGTCCACAATCTTGACTTTGTGACTTTGTTTTTCAATTGCTTTGTTGCTTCAAATCAAAGTTTGTAATGCTGTGATTCTCCTTGAATCTGGCTGGTCTGGTTCAAGGCTTCTAATGCTTTAATGAAGACTTTGTAAAAACCTTTTTGGAAAAATGAATGGAAAAAATACTTCAGGAAATAACACCGCTGATATGAAGTGAGCAGGCACTTATTCCCTCCATTATAGCTATATAAATGGAGAAGCGTTTGATTGGCTCCTAGTTTACTGTACTGAAGACGGTTTGTCCGCAGGAGTCGCAGTGTTAATAAGCGTTTTCTCATGTCTCCGGTCACAGACGTGTCTCTTCGCTGCTCCTCTGACACTGATCGCTCAACTTCCCTCAGCTTTCCTCCAAGGGCATTTCAGTCGTGCCAGATTAAAGCTGACGGGTAACAAGAGTGTGTGTCCACATCACGGATTATCAAAGCGGGAAACTGACAGACGAGAGCGAGAGGAAGAACTTTAATTAATTCCTCTTGACCCTTCCTCTGAGGTGTCAGCGGGCTTTTGTAGCTGGACGCTTAAAGTCGTGCAGAAGCACATGTGTGTGTGTGTGTGTGTGTGTGTGTATGTGTGTGTGTGTGTGTGTGTGTGTGAGACGGGGGTCAGGGATTATCCGTCACAAATCTTCACTCCTGTATTCTTGAGTCAAGGACTCTCTGGTCGACGGCGTCAGATTGGCCGTGTTCCCGGGTTCGTCCTCAAACTGAGACGGATCATTTCCCATCACACCTCGTGTCTTACTGAGCCACTGTGGTTCACAGAAAACACACTCGCTCTGTTTCAGAACCTAGTGAGCATCACTGTCTACAGTCTACATAGACAGCATCCTACTAGCAACCAAAGGTTTACTGGGTTTGATACCATTTTTCAATGTTTGTGTCTTTTCTGTTCACCAAGGCTGCATTTATTTGATCAAAAATACAGTAAAAATTGTGAAATATTATTAATAATTAAAATAGCTGTTTGCTATGTGAATATCTGTTAAAATGTAATTTATTTCTGTGATCAAATCTGTATTTTCAGCATCATTACTCCAGTCTTCAGTGTCACATGATCTTCAGAAATCATTCTAATATGCTGATTTGCTGCTCAAGAAACATTTCTGATTATTATCAATGTTGAAAACAGTTGTGCTGCCCAATATTT